CCAAAGCTATCTGCTTACCAGTGCCGGCTGGCTGTAGGCTGGCTATCCCACCCGCCAGCCTTATGGATCGAGGCCTTTGCGCACAGTCAGACATGAAATGCATGATACTATTGGCCTGCGCTCATACTCGAACATTCCGATCGCACTACATAAGACAAATATCAGAATTAATGCTATCGTGCTATCGTGCTATCGTGCTATGTGACAAGATTGCCGAAGCTATCTGATATACCCGAGCAGGTGATCTGAAGTATGAGGTAGGCATGATTTATGATAGCGCGACATTCCTTCGTCCTAAAGTATGCATTAGATACAAAGGAATCGTACAGAAAGTTGAGTGTGTGCGTCTCGAGGATGCCAAGACCCTGACAGGAGAAGTTTCTTCTTTCTTAGAGGCGGATGAGGTCAAGAAATCTAACCCAAAGTACACGATAGCCAACTAGACGGCTTACTAGGAAGATTTTATGCTCTTGTCAAAGGTGTGCGCGCCACAATATTGCGAGTTGCTCAATGAACATTGAGGCATGGCTGTGATACGGGCGCGCTTGGTGCGAAAGCCTTTAAGAGCCGACGGTGGATGCAACCATGGTCTGGCTCGAATAATCCTCATGATCTCGGAATACTGGTGAGTGACTACCTTGCAAGACGCAGCTGAGTTATTGTGTAGGAAGGCAAAAGGCGAAAATAATTTTCAGCTCGCGACGACGATAGCCTATATGGAATAGCCAATCCACGCCTCGCTTACGAAGAAGATCAGCTGGCTAGACCCGGAATCATCATGACGAGCTTCTCCTGTGTGGAGAATGGCTTTGAGATGCAATGTATGATTGATCGAAAACTGGATGATTACATTCAGGGTCCCCATTCAGGGTCCTCGTTTCGCGGGGTGTCTCATTAGGATTCCCCTCCGTTCGTGCAGCGACACGTTGTCTGTTGCGGGGCGGGTATCTCCGAATCGGCTTTTCCCATCTCGAGCGAATGCAGCGGAACAGGGGACTTGGCGGGCCGGGATAGGGGATGCCACCCGGCTATGTGGGCCAGCCAAGCCGATACTTTTTTCAGCTAGGGGCACATTTTGGAGCAACCAGGTTATACGAACTATGCCGTGCCCAACTAGACCCATGACATGCTGCATACAGAGGTTGGCATGTTCACGGCCCCTGTAGTGTACATGATCTGATGAGTCCAAATTATATCGTATGTAGCCTACCGCCGCGTTTGACTATACCCTCTTGAGTACTTCCGGGCTGGTCCACTTGATAAGGCACGCACATAACTGGACAGACATTGAACCACAATTTGATAAATGAGAGATCCCCGCATTGCTTTCTGCACCTCTCTCAACTTTTCTTCAATCCGAATTTGCTACTGTACTCTGTGCAAAAGCTCTTGTTCACCAGCGCCTAACACCCAGCATGGACGGCCCGGCAAAGTTTCGTGCAGTCATTGTCGGCGGTGGGATGGTTGGCCTCACGGCAGCTCACATCTTCTCCAAAGTTGGCATCGACTTTGTGATTCTAGAAAAGCATAAGACTGTGTTGGCATCGCGCGGCTCGGATTTGGCGGTTTGGCCGCAGACCATGCGGATATTTGATCAGCTGGGTGTGCTCGAGACAATGAATGGTCTCCTCGATTATTGCAGCGACATTCAGGTCATTACTTGCAAAGATGGCCGCAAGATTCGGTCAGACGAAATGCTGAGTTTGGTTGAAAGAAAGTAAGATACCCATCTGTCGAAAGACTCGTGAGTCCGGTATATTAATTGCTCAGTCATGGTCACCCGATAAACTTCATGAGCCGCCCACAGATGGTGAATTTCCTTTACGACAGCCTACCGCAGACTGCAAAAGATTGCATACTGTTGGAAAAACAGGTCACCGACGTTGAAATTTCCGAGGACGGAGTCACTGTCACGTGCGAAGATGGGACGTCCCACCGTGGCTCCATTGTAGTTGGAGCTGATGGAGTGCGCAGCCAAGTCCGGTTATATTCCCAGGCACTCAGGGCAGGCTGTGAGCCCAAGGAGCTACCACAAGGGATCAAGACACCATTCACCACGACGTATCGCATGTTCTTTTGCAACATACCGATTCTGCCCGGATTGGAGCCAAATTCGACATATAGCGGAGTCCACCAGGGCAGCAGCACGCAACTAATCAATGGATCGAAAGCAGCTACCCTTGCCGTGTATGAGAAACTGGACACTCCGACATCGACATTGAAAAGGTACACACAGGCAGATTCCGATGATCTCCTGAAGCGTGTGGATCATTTATACGTGGCTCCCAATTTGACCCTCTCCGAAGCCTTGCAATATCGCACCAACGAACCATGTTTAATCGATCTGGAAGAAGGCTTTATCGAGGACCATTGGTTCCACAAGCGCATTGTACTGGTCGGCGATTCGGTCCGAAAGTATGAGCCGCACCTTGGACTGGGCTACAATTCCGGGGTTTCTGATGTGGTGGTCTTGGCCAACCAGTTGCGCACCCTGCTGCAGAAAGATGAATGTCCAGGAACGTTGGCAATCGAAAAGGCGTTCGAGTCCTATCAGGAGGCCCGAATGGAACAGACCAAACAGATGGCATCCTTGTCAGAGCAGGGTGCACGGTTGCTGGCATGGCTCAACTGGAAGCACATGGTCATTGGCAGATATGTGCTAAACGTGCTCTCCCCGTTGGCCGGTTTCATTATAACAAAGACCATTTCGTCGGTGGTTAGTCAGGCACCAGTCCTTGATGAGCTACAAGAGAAGAATCTGCCCCAATCAAGGGTAAGCTGGAAGTTTCACCCGAGTGTCGGGCATTGAGAATCATGAGCGTTTGTTTTTATTTGGCGTAGAGGATGAAATTATCAGATTCATGCAAGATGGTAGATATTTAGAGATTAGACCAAAGATTGTATTGTACTTGTACTTGTATGAGGATGAAAGCTCTCGATAAAATCGCCAACTGAATGTGCATATCATTAATTCAACCACACAAGATTTTCGCAGCAACCTCCATCGGCTAGATCTAAATGTGCGATAACCGTCGCAGTACTGTTATCTTGGGCCAATTCCCACATTTCCACAAAGCCTTGCTCTAGATCTGGCAGTGCCACCCAACGATCTGAAAATAGAGTAGGCTGCACCAAGTTTGACAACCCTCCGCTGGTGGAAGTGTCGATGAGGAAATTCTGTTTTTCCATGCTCCCTTCCTCGTTCAAGGTATGCAGGCCAACAGCACCAAGATACTCCGAGGAGCGTCCCCGCCTCGTGGCCCACAGGAAGGAATTGCTCGGCGACAGGTTCACCTCGGCGGACCAATAGTTGGAATTATTCTGACCTACGCCCAATAGCGAGAAATAGACGTTGTCGAAGGTGGGGATCCCAGTCGCATTGTCAATGGTGAATTGTGCAACGTGGTTGGAGGTCTCGGTAACAATATAGAGATATTTGCCATTGGGGTGGACGACACCATGACGAGGTCCTGACACGGGATCTGGGACGGAGGAGTTGGCCACATAAGTGATATCGCCGGTAGTGTCGTCAATCTCGTGCGTCCAGATGGTATCAACGTCCACGTCAAAGGTATAGAGATACTTGGAGTTGGGGTGAAATGCACCGCCGTGCAGATATGAGCCTCCAAATGTGAGGTTTTGGGTTTCGCCGACGAGCGAACCATTAGCCGAGACAGACACCACTGATTGGGCAGTCAGATATGCCTGTACGAATAAATTAGCAGGTGAAATTTCCATATGCGTTATTCTCATGTAAATTCGGGTTTGACACGAGGGTTTAGTGGAAAGGTGTCTGAAACAACAGTGAATGGCCGTCACTGACCAGGTGAACTTCGTATGGGGGTATTGGCCTAGCGCCCGCCCAAACGCCTAAACCCCGACCACTACCGCCGCTAAGGCCGCCAGAGTACTCCAAGTTCGCATCTTCATCCACCGAGTAGCTCACCAGGTAAGGTTGGCTGCCCGAAATGTCGCCCATGTTTGTGCTGTACAATGTCTTTTTGTCACCCTGAAATACCTGTTAGTTGGGTATAGATGGAAGGGGTTATTGCATCTGTATGACATACACTCAAGGCTAGCCACCCACTGGCCGCTGGCAGACTGTTGTTTCTCAGCAGCTCCAGTGTCAGCAACTCGTCGTCGAACTCGAGTGTGTACAAGACATCTGGGCCGCCTTCGTTTCCAACAAAAGCGCGATGAGTGGCTGCAGTGATTGGGGTAGCTAGGCTCAATAGGCCTACAACAACACTACGGCGAAGCAACATATTTCTCGACGTAGCAATAGCGTAGACGGCGTATTCAGGGAAATAGAATTCCAGGTGCAGAGTCCAGGCGATGTCACAGGCTGAGTGGCTGGCAACCTGATTTCTGATATTAAAGGTGCAATTTATATACGACTATACCGCTATTAAAAAGAATCAACCAAATAGCGCAAGAAACCATATGTATCATTATACTGGTGCCTGCCTATGCCCATAACCTAAAGAATCTTTGTAATACTCAGAAAGGCCCATGGCGCCCCATAGCACTACTTAGACGCGCGTACAAGCCATGGCATTCACTCCGCACTGTGCCATCAGGGCGCGCCTGTAAAAAGACAAGATATGACTCGCCCGTAATTAGATTACTTGTGTAACAGCTTCTCGAAGGAGCATTCAGCACGGAGACGAAAGGGCTGCCTCTTTGAATGGGAGAGTCTCGGGGCCTACCATGTGCCCGAACTTGGGCTTCATTCGGATTGCCCCATTTAGGGTTGGCGGTCAGAATTACTGGCAACCCACGCAGCAGCAGCTGGACGCTTGGAAAGGGGTTGCAAATGTCAGCCGTCACAGCCGAAATCTGCCTGCATTTCCTTGATATGATCTTTCATCTGTACATCTCATGTATTTTACCATTTCATGATAAACATGTTTGGCTTATGTTGCCTGCAATAGGGTCGTACACAGTCTCGTGTACCTCCTTAACCCTCTTCAGGCCATTGCCGCCCAACCCCACCTCCCCATACCTTGTAGCCTTAACTGCACCTAGGCCAGCCGGCCCCAGCTTTAAATCACAGCGAGTCTTTGCACTCTAATCTCGCTCCGCACAGGCAAGCCGTGTATTTCGTCAATGAAGAATTCTTATTCGCCGGGCCTGCAAACAGCGACGTACTGCACCTGCACATCTCTAAGTCGATATCATGGCTTGCAATGACCATTTCATGGAAACAGGAGTAATGGAAGGATGCCGAAAGGTGTGACTTCCTCGTGGCCTCTTATTCGGTCCGTTGACGGACAAATGATTTATTCAAGTTTTGTTGCATAAACAGAAAGTCGAGATATCCGGCGGTGATTGCAAAAACCAATCGCGAAAATCTGTTTTGTCTTTGTGGCAGCTTTATAATTTGAATTTATTTATCAGCAGCGAGCGCTCGAGAAAGACAATATTATCTTTCATAAAATACACGGCTTCTAGAATGATCGTCTATTTTGCCAATCTGAAATGAATACCCTACGCATCAATTCTTGAGCAGGAACTACACCAATTCAATCTTGACTTGTTCTCAAAGTTTTCAGGCAGTGGCAATAGCGGTGGCGGTAGAAATAGTAGCTATTTGGACGTTAATATAGATGTCAAGGTTCAAGAGAGGCGCAGAACTTACGAAAGCCACCGGGCGGGGTGTAGGTAAAGGTCGTGTCGGCGCCACCATCCTCGCCGTAGTGAGCGGCCGGCCTATAAGTGGAGCTCCAGTCGGCGGTGCCATTGATGCCAACAGTGATGAACATCAAAATACCATCCGACAGACTGTCGCCGAGCAGAACATAGTCTACAAAGGGATCGTAGTCTGCAGAAGCAGAGCTGTACGCAATCGTATCGTTGGCAGTCGCGAGGTGTGATTGCGTGTTGGAAGTGTAGGGTTCTACTGCTTCGACGACATTGACAATCTCATCGTTGAAAAACAGCTGCCCGATGTGTCTGGTAGTACCTGCAATGTATGTGTTGTTTGGCAGAATGGTCGAGTTTTCAGTCGCGATGATGTGAATATGCGTGGCGCGCCCAGCATAATGACCGGGAAAGATGGTGTCAAACTCCACGACGCCCTCGTCATCGCTGCCTCCCACACCACGGAGCCAGGTTGTGTTAAGACCCGCCTGGCCCGAGGCGCTGACGCCAGAGTAGACACCAGTGGCGTTGCAGTGCCAGATGTCCACAAGCAAATCAGTCATTGGCTCGAACGTGTTGATGTCAACAAATTGCATATCCAAATGCACGGGAATGCCAGCCTGGTCCTCGGTGACGTCTTGACGAATGAACTCGCCCGAGGCAAAGTAAGGCCCAATATCACTTTCAGGTGCGAGGGCCGCAAGTTGGTCTGTACCGAAGAGGACTTCATGAGGAGTGTCGAGCGTGTAACCTTTGTCGGTCACATCGTGAGAAATATTGAGATAGCGCAAAATATCTGCCTCGTCTCTCTTGAACATGTTTTCTATAAACCAACTTTAGCAATCCAATCACTCCACAGTCTTTGCAAGTCTCTTACTCTTGGTGAGAGAACGCTGAGCCCGGAGTCTCTGAGCAGTGGCTGCGCGACGTTCGACCGCACGAGCCTTGAGAGCAATAACATGAGGCTCATCAGAGTACTTTACTAGTGCTCTCCGGGCATTTTCGTGCGCCGTCTTGAGCAACTCGGCTTCACGGGAGAGTTCCTGGTAAGTGTGGCCAGGATGAGCTAGTCCAACGCCAATGGCAGCAGATGCTGCTACAGCGGTAACGAGGCGGTGAATTGTGACCATGTTGATGAATGAGCAGATACGAAAGCTATGAATATCTAGTAAAAGTCAACTTGTACGGACCTGCAAATAACAGACTGTACGAAGTGTGAATGGCGTATTTATTTACATATGTGCTATTCTATACTAAGTTTTAAACACGACTACGCTCGCCTGTGAGGGCAAACAGTATGCTTGTTTCCTAGTACCTTGATATGTCTGCCAAATTCTTCCGCGTCTGAGAGCCAGGTGCTTGCTGGATTCCAACCAATACAATTTTTTGCATTTCTATTGTCCCTTGGGATACCCACTTGTGATTACCAAAGATCGACACTCGAGAGACGCGTCTGCACCATTCTGTTTCTTGGCGACCCGGTACTCTTCGCTGTACTTGCAATGGTCTACGTAGTCTGAACCCTGGATTTGTGTCTAGAACTTTGGAGATAGTATATTGCATACGCTGACAAAAGCATGTGCGAGCGTTTGTCATGAGAGACAGCCAGACGACGACGACGACATCAAGTTCTAGGATGCAAAGAGCCGACATTGACGAATGTACTGTGCAGCCTTTTGGTGGCATGTCACTTTGAGGCTCATGCCGTGCTACTCCAATATGCATGGTCCGGCGGGTAGTGGCGTCCCTGGGCAGAGCATTAATCTGTATCAAGTTCGGCATCGTGTTCCGTCGGTTTGTTGTGGCATGGAATGCAGTTGACGTGGCCTTCCTGTCTTGTTATTTTCTTCGGTCTCCGAGTTGCTCGGAAATCACAATTTTGCCATTTGCCATCATCTCTTCTTGGCAGATTATATATGAGACGGCCTACGCATGCAAGGTCCCTGAGAGACCGAGTTGGTAAGCATACCCTCGCACCCTTTCCGGCTACCATCACACATGATCCAGATGCGCAATTGAGGTCATCTCCGCGGTGACCATCCCGGAAGGTGACGTCCTCGACATAGTAGCGAATACACTGCATTCCCATTACCTAGAGGTTGAAGAAATATATGGCCCTGCAGTACCTTTTTTAAGTGGAGTGTTGAACTCCAGCATGGAAAATGCTGGCTTAGAGGCCCGTTGTGGGAAGCGACTAGTGCTATATTACTCAAAATGGAAATTTTCACGGCTGACAAACTAAGACCCCGACCGATGACAAAGCCTTCCCGGTATTCAAACCTTGGAACTTAACCATAGTAATGTAGATCACTGCCACTAGAACAATAAAGGCCGCGTGTCACCCGGATTGCGGGGAATGCTTAAACGTTATTTGACTATACACAGTATTCCGAAAAGGTCGAACTAGAGCCTCGAATGGCTTCAGGAACAGCGGCTACGACGACACAGTCAAAACTAACGTACAGTGGCTAAATTTCGCACTGCTCCATGACAGAGTGCTTTCAACATCCCCGAGTGTATGTAGGAATTAGCACAACATAGTCGGTCAACAATGCACGCATTTGCAGACGTGCTGAATGTATCAATTGATTCAACTTAAAGTTTTATCCCGAATCAATATGCTACAACTTCGCAGTATCGGAACTTTCGCAAGTCTTCTTGCGTTTGCACATGCGCTTACGCACCAATTGATTATTGGCACCCTTGGCACAAAGTCCCTCTATACTGTCGAATTTGACGACGAGGCTTCCACCTTGAAGCTACTAGCCAATACTTCAGTGCCTGTACCTGGATCTTGGATTACTCTTAACGTATGTGGCCGTATTTAAATGTCGATAGTTTTGAAATAATATTGACCATTTGTGCAGCACGACAATACCAAGTTGTACACCAATGCCTGGGCCACAGGACCGCAGTTTGCGAGCTATTCTCTATCTGACAATCACGAGATCACGCACGATGTAACCATTGCAGCTGGAGGCAATTGTACCGCTACCTCTATATTTGTTGTCGCGAATCCGAATCCACCATATTCCGTGTACGGTTCGTTCTTTGGCAGCAACGGCGGCTGTGGCAGTGTCTTGTCCGTGGACGAAAATGGTGTACTTGATGCTGCTATACAAAACTACACCTTGTCCAGCGCAGCGGGCGTCCATGGCACGGCACTGAGTAGCGACTCCCGGTTCTTGTACTCTGCTGATGACAGCGCAAACGCATTGTGGACGCACAGTATCGATCCAGAGACGGGAAAGGTGACATTTGTTGCAAATCTCACAGCACTGTCTACTGGCGCGGATCCTCGCCATGTAGCGGTGCACCCGAGCGGAAAGTTTCTCTATGTCGTCTTGGAAGGCTCGAACGAGATTGCGCAGTACACGATTGATCAGAGCACTGGTATCCCGTCTTTCGAGAATGTGATTTACCCACTCATATCGTCTGGAGACAACGCCTCGAGCTATCTGGGAGGAGACGAGGTAGCCTTGTCCTCCAGTAACAAGCATCTCTGGGCAACCACGCGGGGAGGAATGGACGGCACCGCAGGTTACATCTCGGTCTTCACACTGGACGAAAATGGCGCAATAAAATCTCAAAATTTCTTGACGCACACGAGCACCAGCGGTGGTGGTTCCAATGCCGTGGCGCCGAGCCCGTCGACGGATCGGTACGCCGCCTTGATGGACAGCTCGAAGGGCTTTGTGGAGATATGGGAGTTGGCCGAAGATGCAAGCAATGCGACGATTGTGGCACATCTTGACTTGGCCGATGGTGGATGTTGTGCGAACGCTGTATGGCTGTCATAATTTGTTGGCATATCATGGTGTATGGTTCGTTGATTGTAACGAAACTCAAAACTTTAATCGTATTCACATACAAGTGTTTTTTCTTTGATTCTTGTATTTCTGGAGCTAGTAGCATGGATCCAGGCCCTTATTACCAAGTGTGCAATAACTGCCGAGGATCCCGAATTTTTGATCAATGCAAGTCAACATTCCAATCTGCGTGAAGAAACAAGTATGACGACTTTAAGGAGAATACGGCTCAAGAGTACTATGAAACGAATTGAGTTGAAGATAAATCCAATTCTATAACTATGAAGCTGCAACTCCAATTCATTGTAAGAAGAAAACTCAAAGTGAACCTCATAAAGAGTGCACCAGATCTACGTATAGTCACGAGCTCGTGCCCTTGACCAATATTAATGATAGACCATGTCATGCCTACTCGTCATAGTATTCAGAGCAGACCACAGGACCATTGAGATCCATCACATCGGCAATGGTGACATTGGGAAGAATGTCGACCATCCAGAGGGTATGGTTCAGTGTGGTGATATTGCCCCCATCATCACCAAAGTAATTGGTGAACTCGGGACCAACGCCGAGAAGATTACCGCTGGGGTTTGCGGGCACACCTGGAGCACTTGGAACACCTGTCCCATTGGGACCGGCGGGGCCTCCAGGTTGCGATCCCCCAAAAGCCGGAATGTTTGGGCCGCCCATGTCGGTCAAACGAGCGGGCAGATCCATCTTTTGCCACTCCCACTACAACATGTATTAGCAAGTCCTATTTTGGGTGGATGCGTGAGTTTTAAGCAGCTCTTTTGAGCAGTTTATCTGCGTACTCTCTTGCAGCATCAATTTGGGCAATGCTTGCTCATGAGACAACCCAGAAAATGAGAGAAATGGCATTGGAAGTTGCTTACGAATAGCTTGTCCAGCCAGGCATGGTGAAGGAAGAAAAAAGGATCTCCGGGACTTAGAGTTCCATCGAGTAGCTGTCACACACATGGTGAGTATCTGCACCGAGACTGAGCGGGGCTGGAGGTTCTCACAATACCACCGACAGCTTGGTGACCTGAAAGGTGCGGGTTTTGGCCCCAGCAATCCCAAGCGGTGCTGTAGTTCTGCTTGGCATTGCAAACATTGATATGAGCTTGGTTAGTGAGCCGCAAGGAGTTCTTATTGTTGATACGAGTCAGCCAGTGATCAGAGTAGGTTCCATCTGCCAGCCATCGCAATGTCAAGTTTGCAAAGGAGCCATTAACCACGCGGCTGGTGCCGTCGTCTGTGCCATTGCCGCCAAAGTATTGGTCTTCCCACATGTCTGTCCTGTACAGATCATTGACATCGGCGAGCTCATCCCAGTACCTAAAAGAATTTCGTCTCTCATTAGCACTTTACGTTGGTCGAGCGGCTGGAATCATTCCGTGGATTAATGTACTTACGGCATACGACCAGTATATCCACACTCGTCTCGAATGACGCGCTCGTGCGCAGTCAGATAGTATCGGTGGAATGGCAAAAACGCGCCGACATTGTGAACCGAGGCAGATTGAGCCACATGCGGCCACTGCATGTCGTCCCAGCGTGTTACGGCGCCAGGAACTCTCAGCTTTGTTGGCGAGTTGATCAAGCAGAGATCAGCGTTTATGTACGCAGCCTTTTCATCAGTAGTGAGACTCGTCCTGTGGGGTTATAAAGTCAGTCCAGGCTGGGAACATAACTTTGCAGCGAATCGTACCATGGCACCCGGGCCCGAACTTCTGTACACTCGGAAGCATCAGCTGCTGCAAGACCAAGCAATGCAACGAAGAGTAAAATGGCTCGCATCTTGATTGATGCCATGTTTGAACTTTCTAAGAGATTGCTTTGGAGAGGATGGCTGAGTTAGCAACCGGGCGAGCACGCAGTCGACAGGCTTCTACCTGAAGATATGTCCTGACTTGGAGTATACGGCACATCTACCTTTTCATTATTTACTAAATAGGAATTATAAGCGCACAATATAATTCACATGCGAAACGCGCGTCAAGAGTCTTTGTGGCGCTAGAATTCAGGCATAGCTGCGTGACATTTCTCCAATTCTAGCGCTATGGTACTCGAAATTGATGTTCCTGTATCAAGGACTCGGATGACAGGGGGTTAGATTTGCCTATACCTTCTGCATATTACACTGTGCGAGGAGCCGCCAAGCTCGTATACTGAGTCTACGTGCCTGCACCTGCAGCTGAGAAGTTAACCTTAAAAAGGCACTTAATCACCATTCTATGATGTGTGCTTGGCCCGCCAGAATAAACTTGGTATTAAGGGACAAGATGGGCTAGTCTTGCTTACAAAGAAATGAGTAATACATGGGAGACTCTCGTTGAACAGCAAACTAGTATATTAAGAGCGAGTATTACTGGTAAAACTGTGATACTTTCTGTAGTTGTTTTATCCATATGAAGGTTACGCGTTCCAACGCCCTAGGAATTTCTTTTCTGCATTACATCACTCACTGGATGGCAGATCCAGGTTGCGGCAGGGAGACAAGCGCCTATTGTGTTGTGTCACCTCTTGTCTTGGCATGCTCAGTCTCGGTTGCGTTGCCGAGCGGCCCATCCCGATTAGGATGTTGGTTATGACAAAGCAGAACTCGTCGTCCTAGACTGTCATCCTAGACTGTGGCGAGATTGTCAGCATCACGAATATGTTGATTTTCGCGGGCCTTCGGAAATACGCTGCCATTCTTGATGCATTAGAAAGGGCCATTGAGCATTCCGCATGGTTTTGGGGCATCAGATACCGGAGATCAATAAAATTCACTTCGACCAGGGGCTGGTGCGAAAAGATGTGATGGATGATGAGAGGCGACATCATTTTTAACCAGACAAGGGAATCAGATCAATGTGTATATAGACACCTGAAGCCATTTTGCTCCATTCACTGGATTGGTATCAGGACGTTCCTTGCCACTCTCATTCTTCATCCCTTCTTGCAACTTGTGCCAAATCTCCTCTCTTTTTGAGTCCGTCATGCTTGGCTTCAAAACTCTCCTTCTGTCCTTGGAAATTGCCTCGACAGTCGCACACCCTGGGGAGAAGCATTCCGTTCTCGCCCGCGAAGGTCATGAACATCGATCTGCTGTAGCGCAGGCACAGCGGTCCCTTAGCTTTAAGGCCGAAACCAGCGTCGCAGTCGCTCTCAAGTCGCGTGCGGTTGCTCGGCGTGCCAAGATCGCCGCCACTATTCGTGAAAAGCGAGCCATACAAAACAGTAGGTCGTTTCTGACATGATACGCACTGAGAATTATGCTTACCGTCTTCCCAACAGAGCCTCTTGTTTCAAGAGACTTGGAGCAGTTGGAGGCGTACGATGCCACTTCCCACGATGTTAACTCTACCGGCCTTTGGACACTCCTGTGGGCGAGATCTTCGGCTCCAACTCCACCACGGGATTGACTCCCCAGGCTATCCTTGGCCCTTACTTCGTTGCCGGGGAGTGGCTCCGTACCGACATTACTGAGGGGACCCAGGGAGTACCACTGCACTTGGACATCCAATTCGTAGACATAGCTACATTCAATCCCATTCCGCGGTTGGCGGTTGATGTTTGGCACTGCAATGCCACTGGAGTCTATTCTGGAATCAACGCTACATTGGGACAGGGCGGGTTGAACACTACATTCCTTCGAGGCGTCAGCATAACAGATGACGACGGAGTTGTTCAGTTTGATACGCTGTTCCCCGGACACTACTCTGGTCGCTCTCAACACATTCATGTTATCGGCACAGAGAATGCCCGTTTCTTGCACAATGGCACTTATCTCAATGGTACTGCTAGACACATTGGCCAGATCTTCTTCAATCAGGATCTAATCTCAGAGGTTGAAACCACTGAGCCTTATGTCCAGAACACGGTCAACATTACTACCAATGTCGAGGACTTGATTGCTCCCGATGCCGCCACTGCGACATATGACCCCTTAGCGGATTATGTCAGGCTTGGGGACAGCATAAGCGATGGACTTTTGTCCTTCATCACTATTGGCATCAACACTACAGCCGACTACTCGGCCAACATCATCCCAGCCTCTCACTATTACGAGACTGGGGGTGTTGACACTGGGACTGGTGGCCTTCCTCCAGGAGCTCCATCGCCTCCATAAGTTTGAAGAGATCACTCTTAACGTTGGGAAAGGGTTCATCCTTCACTGTTGTTGTTGTTGTGGACTGACATAAACCACTCGCTCCTGCGCCCTCATGCGAATGTACACGCGATTCTAGTTGATAGGCAGAATGATTACACTAGTTGCTGGATGGTACATCACTAGCAGTTGTGAAGATGTTTTCCAATTTTATTCAAGTTATATTCGTTTGATGGCAAGCATGGCAAGTTTATATGGCCATAAAAGTAGGGCATAAAACAAAGCCAGCTGCTAAAGAGAAGCAAGCTCATACGACAAGAAGCCACAAGTACACAGATCGTCCAACCATAATCCCAGTGCACACACAGATTACTCTGAGATCAAAGGATTGGCCACCACTGACAGTGTGGGGGAGGTTCTGGGGACGATTGGTGGTGCATACGATTGAGGTCGCTTGGTGGAGTGCAGTGTAAGCGCCCGGATCATCTCGAACTTTTAGGGTATACGAGATTACGCTTCGGCCTTCGGCCGAAGCTTCACTCTAGTAGCATAATAATTATTAATCAAGGTGGTGCTTTCCTATTGGAGTTTAAATTGGTCTGGTATAGGTGTCAATTATATAATATATTAATTTATATTCTGCGCCTTTTAGTTTTAATAAGGTGTACGCTTATTTAGGTGGCCCCGGCTAATCCCCGGAAGGTCCCGTATATTTATCTAAACACTATAAAGTTAATCCGTATGCTTAAGCATACCCTAATATATAGGAACCATAATCCACTATTTAATACACCCCTTTAGATCCACGATTTATCGTAAATCTGGCCATATTTAAATTAGAATTACTAATTAGCAAAATATAGCTTTTTTTAGGGCTATTCGTTTTAATTACGATAAGTAATATTAAATCCTATTTATTATAAAAAATTCTGTTATTTGCCTATTAGCAAGCTTTTCGTTAATTTATTTATTATTATCTTATTTAAAGGTCTATAAATAACTCTAATCTTTTTTTTTAGGCTTTTTATCGTAATTAATAATTATAAATATCTATATAACGGAGCTTTATTTTTAATAACGCGATTTCGGCGTTAATTAAATTAATAATTTATTTATTATTATATTTAATAATAATAATACTATTATCTAATTATATCGATAATTCCTTTAATAATTAACTAATAAATAATATTTTTTTAGCAGCTTATATTAACGCAAATAACTTAGTTTTTATAATAAAAATAATAATTATATTTTATTTATTTAATCGCTAATTAATTAATCCTCCGAATAGCTTTATAGCGAATATTTAGGTGCTTTTACGATTGATGCTATTATCGGCAAATAATACGTTATTAGCAATTACTAAATTAAAAAATCCTCCGATTTTAAATAAAAATTCCTTAATATTAATTAGGTAAATTAAAACTCGATTAGCAGCTTTTTAATATGCTTAGCTTAAATTATTAAAAAATCGAGCTAATTTAGCTATTATAAATACGATATTTAGCTTTGTAAAAATAGCCGCGAATAGCAATAATCCGATTTTCTTTTAGTATTTCTATATTTCGTATAAAAACGCTATAATTAATCGAAGCGTAAATTCTTCGCATCCTATTAATATTATATAAATTTTCTTTTTATCTATTAGCTTAGCGATTTTCTTAAAATAAGCCTTTTAAAATAACCAAATTATTTTAAATACACGATTTCGGATTACTTTTATCCCGAAAAACCACTATATTAGCTCGCCACCATTAATTTTATACTTTTTTATAAAATACTATATTAACTAATTAATAGCCTTTTTATTTTTATTTTTATATGCGATAATTACGTCGTTAACGTAAAAAAAAACTAATACTTTTTTTTTAATAAATGCGCAAGGCTTATATAATATTTAAATATAACCGATTTCGGCTAAAGTCTTTATAAACTCTCTTTATTATAATAGCGGTAATATCCGTAATCCGTAAAATGCTTTATTTAATAATAATATAATATTTTTTTTTAATATTTATCCGGCATTTTTATAAATATATTTTAATTAATAAAAGCGTATATAAACGCGTTTATTACGTTGTATTATATTAATTTAAAATCGAATCTCGCTATAATCGCGATTAAGGTGCAAAATAATTTTTTAGCTAATATAACCGCGTAAATTTCCTAATTCTAAAATTTCGCCTATTAATTACCGCAAATAACGAATTTTGCTTTATATTTCTAAAATCTCCCGTGCTTATCGAACTTATATATATATATCTATATATAATTAAAGATCTATTTGCCTTTTATTCGTAAATCCTTCCTATTAATTTCGGTTTAAAATCGTATATTTTTATAACTTTATAAATAATTAGCTTTTGCTTAAAGGAATAATTTATTAAACGGATAATAATATAATTTATAATATTATTTAGGAAAAGCTAAAATTTTTGTTTTATAAATTTTTACCCTTTAATAAAAAAAGCGTTTTAGCTTCGCTTTATCGTTTTAATTATTATTTTATCCTGTTTTAAAAATAGTTTTATAATTAGCTAAAAAAACTGCTTATTATAAGATTATTTTAAATCCTTTTATTAATAGCGCCGTATCCTTAATCGTAATCGCTTTTATATTATATATTAATAAAGCTAATAAAAATATTTATAATAAAATTTAAAAGGTAAATTTCGCGGTAATAAAAAAATATTATTTATCCCTTTTATTTAGCGCTGCTTTTTTATTTTTTTAGTTACCATTTTCCTTTTAATCGTTTTAATTATCGCCTAGCAAAATATTTTTTACGGCGGTATTTTCATTTTTTAATTTTTATAAAATCTCGTTTTTAAATATTGCGTAATTAATTACGAAATCGGCTATAAGCTAAATATTAATATTTAAAAGCTTGTTTTTAAATATATCCCACTTTCCGTCGCATAATTCCTTTTCGTTTATAATTATATTTTTCGTATTAATTAATTTATTTTAACTAAAAATCTAAATTTTATAAATATTAAATAACCTATATTTAATAAAATATTTTATTTATATTTTAAATATTAATCGCTATAAGCGGCCGAATTTTTATTATGCTATTAGTATTATTACGTACGCTTTATATCCGAATATTTTAAAATAAATTTAATTAAGTTTATAATTCGGATTTAAAACTCCTTTTGCTTTCGCAATTATTTTATAAAATCTTATATATAATATACGCTATCGGGAATTATAATTCGGCGTATAATTATATAAGTATACCGCGGTTTTGCCGATTTTAGGCCAGAGTTAATAAAGGAATCTTGCGCTAATACGCATTATACGTTTTTTCTCTTTAATTATACCCTTTAAACGTTCGGCAGCTTTATTTTAAGCTTATATATATAATACTAAAGGCTCGAATTTAATATATTTATTTTTAAAATATTTTCCGATTACCTATTTAATTTTTATAATCTCGTTATCGTATTCGATAATTTTAATTTTAATATTATATTAAATTTTTATTATACCTAAAAACGATCGGAAAGCGTTAATTAATATAACCGTAATCCTTTCCGTAAAATAATAATTTTATATATATCCCGTTTACCGATAAATAATTAGCATTTAAAATATATAATTTTCGATTTTTTTAATATAATTATAAAAATTTATAACTAATCGTTCGCTATAATTTTCGTTAATTAGCCGTAGCGCTCGCCGTGGTTAGCGCGTGATTTTTATAAATGCGTAGGCTTTATATTTTATTATAATTAGTTTTTTAATTTTTACCTTTTAAAATAAATAAATAAAATATTCGAAAGCTGCCGGGCCTAAATATCCTATTTTTTAATACTATTGTATAGCTTTTTTAATTAATAATGGCCTTTTTATCCATATTATATATCTTTTCCGATAAATAGCAAATAACGCTAAAAATAATTCGTAAAATCTATATTTAAGGATATATTATCCGTATTAGTTTTAAAATATACTAATTAAAAATTTATTTTTTTTACGTAATATTATAAAATCGTTTTTATTATCCTAATAATATCCTTATTTTTATAATTAACGGAATAATACTAATATAATTAGTAACCTAAAATAATAAGCTATATTATTTAATAATAATATTTTAAATCCGAGCTATATAATTATTATACCGTACCCGTAAATAAATAATTTCCGGTCGCCTAACTAAATAAAATCGTAATTAAAAGCTTACCTATAATTAATAAGCCTTATTTTTATATTTATAATTAAAATCGTTATCGCTAAATCTAAAATAATTAAATAACGCAAAAAATAATTTTTTATAAATACTATAAAATTGTTTTATACGTTTATTATTAATCGTCCGTTTTATTAATCTATATTAATTGGGAGCGATTTTTCCTTAATTATTCGTAATATATTAATTCGGCTGGTTTTAATCCTTTTTATATTACGAATTTATTTCTATAAATTAGGGTTTTTTTAAAGGCCTTATTTATTTATATTTATATTTTATTTTTAGGGACGAAACCTAAATAAGCTTTTTTTAAAAATACGTAAAAATATAAATTAAAAGCGTAAAAAAAATAGCAAATAAAGCATCTAATATCTTTTTATTTTTTATTATAAGTAATTCGTCCACCCCTTCTTTTATGTAAATTAGCCGTATTTAATCGGGGAGGCATCTAATCTTTAACGAAGTAAGCGTCTTTATTTTATCCGTTTTAAAGCTATTTTTTAGCTTTATTAGCGTAAATTATAAAAGCGCCTTTCCTAATTTTTAGCCTAATCGGCTATTAAATGTTTAAGCTTTTACGGAAATCGTTATTTATTACCCGATATTTTAAATTCCTATTTAAAATGTTTTATTTTTTATAAATTTAATAAAAAATAGCCTATTATAACATAATTAAAATAATTATATTTAAAAAATCTATAGCCTAAACCAAATTATCCTATATTTTAACGATTTGCTTTACCTAGGTTTTCGCTATAATTATCTCCTATTTATTAACTTAATTAGCAGCTTTTTTTAATATTTTTAAAGGCTTAAAAGC